GGGTGTTGGTTGGGATCTTTTTCCTATCCTGGGTGCTCCCATTTGAAACTGATCTCCCTATCTTAGAGAACGTGGTGAGACATACACTTGGGTCCGGCTGCTTAAGTACGAGGGGGCTTTATTGTTAATCAGTCTCATGCATAATTTTAGCTGTTGCTAGAAACAATAAAGTGATCGTGAAATAATGATGATAATAATAATAGTTACCTACCAAAGTACCCATCTACGTATTATCTTCTTACTTCCTTACCTACCTACCTATCTACCTACCTACTTACCGACTTACTAACCTATTTCTTACATAACTACCTACTAACCAATCTATTTATTTTCCATTCTCCAATGCACTTATCAGCCAGCCTACCTACCTACCTACCTACCTACTTACCTACCTACCTACCTACCTACCAACCTATCTACCTGCCTACCTACCTACATACCTACCTACCTACCAACATATCTACCTACCTACCTACCAACCTATCTACCTGCCTACCTACTTATTTACCTGCCTACCTACTGATCAGAAGACTGACTGATCTATCTTACTATATCCCACCCCACTCCACTCTACCCTGCCCTATCTTACCCTACCCCACCCTACCCTACCCTACCATAACCTACCCTACCCCAACCCACCCACTCCACCCCACTGTACCCTATCTTACCCTATCCTACCCTACCCCACCCTACCATACCCTATCCTACCCTACCCCAACACATCCCACTCTACCCTACCCTACCCTACCCTACCCTACCCTACCTTTCCCTACATTACCCTACCTTACCCTACCCCATCCCACCCACCCCACCCCACTCTACTCCATTTTACCCTATCTTACCCTTCCCCACCCTGTGTTACCCTACCCTATCCTTAACCTATCCCAACCCACCCCACCCCACCCAACCCCACTCTACCCCATTTTACCCTATTCTACACTACCCCAACCCTACCCCAACCCACCCACCCCACCCCACTCCACCCCTTCTTACCCTAACCT